AAAAAAAAAAAAAAAAAAAGAATTTCCTCGGGCTCCGAGGACAGCCCGAGGAGTGTCAAACGAGCCCCTAGGCCCTTCACGAGTGGAGATCAGGTAGACTTTTTTTTTTTTTTTTTCCTGTCTGTCTCTCAGGTTGACAAAATTCGGCCTAGCTCAGTTGGTAAGGCATGCAAGTGGCATTTAGGACGGCTTGGGTTCAATCCCCATTGGCCTCATGTACCTTCCTGGGCATGCTTGGCGCCCGCCACCAAGAGATGGTCCCCCAAAACAGTCTCTGCTTATGTTCATAGATGGAGGGGTAATCGGGGAGGCACAGAGACTGGCCACTCAGATGATCCTCGGTCCCTCTGCCACCGGCTGTCCCCTGGCCGGTGTTTGGGGGTTCCCTGAAGGCAATCAAGGCCACCCTGGGCTGAAAAGGCCACCCGATGTCAGATTAGACACAATATTGAATTTACCTGGGCGGGTTAGTCCGATGATAATGCCTCAAGGCCATTGCCCTTTAAAAAAAATAAAAATAAAAAAATTGGTGGCGAGTAAGTGCAACCAGGCCTCCAGTTCGACACGATTCTCATGTTTTTCACTCTCCACATCTCCACCCATCCGCCACGCCACGAATTGTGGCGGATGGCGAGTGGTGCAGCTAGTGGCGTAGGGCCTCGCCACACCGGTCCCAAATGCATAAAAGACAAACTTATGACGGTTTATCTTCCGATGTTCTGGCTGAAAAATCGTCGTCAAGTTTGCACACTCGGTGAGTGATGCGGCGAGGCCCCCACTCACAGGAGGAAGTTCTCGCCTCAGCTTTTGGCCACAACTTTTTTTCCTTATTTCTCACCGAACATGGCCGCAACGTCGAGCCAGAAGCACGTGGGTTGCCGCGCATCCCCGTGCTACCTGATGAGAGTACGCTCTGAGGGTGCACTGGATATCTCTACCGTGTTTCACCGAGCAGAACGTACGGCAAAAATCACTGCACTAGACTGAAAGTTGGCCAAAATACAGCTATGATGACAGTGCGTTCTCTTCGGAGTAACAAGGTTGTTCGACGTATTTGGGTCTCCGTATATCCCGGTGTACAGTGGTTGTTGGAATCGCCCTGCTGTGGACTGGCTGAAGCTTGTCATGCGTATACTAAAAGTGGAAAGATCCAATCACCACACACACACATACACGCACACACACACGAGCACACTTTAGCCCCTGCGTAATGGGGACCCTATTGCCGGTGCGCTCTACACGGGGAAGAAGACGCCGAGCTCTGTTTTTGTGTTTGCGTGAGCGTACGTCTGTGTATGCGAAGGTCGTGTGCATGTCAGTTTGTGTTCGGGTTTTTGTTTCGTGTTCTGCTCTCTCTCTCTCTCTCTCTCTCTGTGTGTGTGTGTGTGTGTGTGTGTGTGTGTGTGTGTGTGTGTGTGTGTGAGGGAGGGAGGAGATTCGAGCACTTATAGGAAGGGAAAACTGCCTGTTGGTGAATGGCAGTCAGTATTGTATCCATGTGCAGACAACTAGACCAGCGAACGAAGGATGGAGGAGGTAGAAAAGGGAGGGAGAGAGCAGAGTAAGCGCTCCCCCTGGCAGATCGCTGGGAAAGCGACTTCGTCCGCCTGCCCTTTCTCTGTACAACTGCTTACCTGTATTATCCCCTCCGCTTCCGTCCAGAGGGTGTGTGGGTGGTGAGGACCAAACCCGCACACTCAGGTTCGCTACAGACCAACCAAGGGTGCGAAGTAGAGGAGGCCGGCATGCCGATTGCAATCCGTTTTCGTCTTCCTCAGTAGCTCACAGAAATATGGGACGAGCTCTGCATCTGGATCGAAACGCGCATTGTAGACAATCAGAAGAATACCCACCTGCATTCTATTCGAGGGATGTGAGACCTCATCCGATCCCCCTACCGACACCCACTACCCTCTCAACGCCCCTCCTCCTCCTCCTCCTCACCCTTCCTCCTCCACCCGTGTAGAGATTCCAAGCATCTGTCTTTTTGTGGGCTACCGTGGATGCCTTACAAAGATAGCGCACAAGCGGTACGCGTGCAGACGCAGGGCTCGCAAACGGGCCCGGGAGGAGAGGGACCTTAGTGTGGCAGTTTTCTAACCCGCCTACTCATCGTCCTCCTCTCCTTTGTCTTCCTCCTTGCCTTTCGTCCTCCTTGTCCTATTCCTTTTCTTCTTCCCACTCGCCGTCCTGTCGCTCTTCTCCTTTCCCTTCTCTGTTTGGGGATCGCTAGCATTGAACACCTTACCTCGCTTCCGAGAACACCTCTCTTCTCCTACACGGCTTTTCCAGTCGGTCCTCTCCCATTCCATCCCTTCCTCCTGCAAGCACACTCTGCGGCTGGGTGACGGGAATACCCGCTCCCGTGCCTGTCAGTGCTGTCACCACCTCCTCCTCCTCCTCCTCCTCCTCCTCCTCCTCCTCCCTCGGCGAGCGCTGCGTCCATCACATCGTCCTCAGATCACAGGGGCAGCTGTTGGGTCCTTAGACATAGCCAGACTTACGTCAGCGCCACGTGGAAGGAACACAGACTACGTGGGTGTTGCCCCATCAGATCACTGCTTTGGGCAGGTGTTACCATCTCAGCGCCGTCCTTGTCTTCCGCCTGTCGCGTTCTTCGTCCTCATGGTCCAGGGCTTTGTTCCAGTCGTGCGCTTGTTGTCCGGGTCCTGATTTTGCTCCCACGGAAGCTTAGGAACCGGCTCCAGGCGCGGGTTCGGCTGGTCGTCCACTGGCTCGTGGCCAGTTGGAGCGGCTAAGACAGAGAAGGCAGTAAAGGAGGAGGAGGAGGACGAGGACAGGACAGAAAGTAAAGAAGGAGGAGGAAAGAGAAGAGAGGAGAGTGTAGAAGAGGAGGAGGAGGAGAGGCGGAAAGTCTCCAAGCTAGGCTTGCAGCAGCGATGGAGTATTATCCGGCATGGGGTCGAAACCAGTTGTTCGTTCCTGGTCCAACCAATATCCCCGAGCCGGTCCTGCGGGCCATGAATCGAGGGAACGAGGACCATCGCTCCCCAGCCTTTCCGAAGCTGAGTAAATCCGTCCTCGAAGACGTCAAGCGGTTATTCAAAACCACCACCGGCACCTCATTCATCATTCCTTGCACCGGTTAGTGAAAATCGCCTCCATTCCTTTCTCCACCACGTGCACACAGCTCGCTTTCCATTCCGCCCACATCTCTCTCTCTCTCTCTCTCTCTCTCTCTCTCTCTCTCTCTCTCTCTCTCTCTCTCTCTCTCTCTCTCTCTCTCTCTCT